TATTAAGAACAAAATACGTTGGACGATCCAAACAATGCTAAGTGTTGTTATTGATTACAAATGTAAAAATTGAATTATCATATTTTCAATTAATGTTTGTAAACTGAGGACGAAAAAAAAATATTTATCAATGAAAAAAAAAATTCTTCTTTTTCTCAAATTATTTAAACATTCTATTCAATTGATAGGTTTTTTTTTCTTATATTTAGAAATGATTATAAATGAGTCTTTAAGATTTCACAAAGAAAAAAAAACAAAAAATTATCCCGGAAAATTTTTATGAGTCATAATCATCATTCCCTTTTGATATTGGTTTTTCTATGACAAAACAAAAAAAAAAAGAAAGAAAGATGAAATATAGAGATGAGAATAATGAATGAAATATTTTGTCATATTATATACAATATCTCTGTTCTGTTCATATGTCTAATCAAATTTGTTTTTCGGATACGTTTAGGATCTATATAAACCATAACAATTGACAGTTTCAATTAATAACAATTATAGATAATTAGCAACAAGTTCATAATCAAGACATGAGAAACACAACGAAGTGAACAATTAGTTGTTTTTTTTTAATTTTCTTCGCGCCAATTTTATAAACCATAAGATCATTTTCTTCTAATTCTTTCTTATCACACGTGTTCTCTCTGTATATTTGTGTGTGTGTGCGTGCGGGTTTTACATCTTCTCATGGATGAAGCAAAAAAAATGTTTCATACAAAAATCTTAATTCGAACAAAAATACAGAAGAATTCACGTCGAATATATTGAATTCTCTAAAAAAAAAATATTTCTCAAAATACAAAATATAAATAACAACAGCATATAGATTTATCTCATATACAACAAAATATCATGTTGACCCTTAGGATACCCTGGTAGGTTTCTTAAAAAACAAAAAACTAATCGATCAAGGAGAAAAACAAATATAGTGTGTATATATATGTAGATATGTGTGTGTATATATGCAATGAGGGGGAAAAAAATTTGGGTCTAAAATTAAAAATCCAATATTCCTTTTTCTTTTATTAAACTATTTTCTCATATGTGCATAGGACGAGTCAGACATTGGACAAACATGTCGGTGATTCTACGGACAGTGATAATGAAGAAAAAGAAGGTAGGATTGTATGAAATTTATATTGCAAAAAAAAATTCATAAAAAAAAACATAATCTATTAGATGGTGAACTTGAAGAGGGTGAAGTTGAAGAAGAATTAGATGAAACTCCTTCTCAACAAAAAGATGGTATGTATTGAATAGAAAAAAAACCACCTAAACGAAATCATCTATTGATTTTTTTGTATCTACAGATGCTAAGGAAAATAATCGTGATAATAATAGTACAAATGGACCAAGCATGGAACAATATAATTCAATTGATATGAATAATCATTTAAATATGGGTTCACAAAAATTTCGACGTCGTGATTATCATCATCATCATTTAGGTCAACAACGTATGAATAGTTCAGGAGGACAACAAGATAATAAACGTAATAAACATGAACAACGTAGAAAACGACGTCATAGTGGTGAAGAACGTGATGATAGAAATCGAAGACAATCTAAAGTATGAATTTGAATTTAATTCGAATTTAATAAATAACAAAATCTTTTGTTTTATAGCGTGGAAGATTTCGTGGTGGACCATTACCAGATGTAGTTGAAGATGGTGAAGATGACGAAATGATAGGTCCAACATGGCCACCGAGAGGACAAAATCGTGGTCAACGAAAGCAACAGTCTGATATAATATCGAATGAAAATTCGGAATCAATTGAAACAACTGAACAACATTCATCTTTAAATCCAACAAATGAATCTAAAAGTGAACAATCTATAACAAGCGACGAAACATCATCACCAACAAATGATACGATTGATGATGAGAATATGAATTCAGATGATAAACAAGATCGTTTAAATCGTTCAAGACCAACACGAACAAATCAGCAACAAAATTCTATGAATATTGAAAATCGTGGTAGAAGATATTATGATGGTAATATAAATACAAATACAAATACTAATAATCCAAATAATCGTCGACCAAATGATCGTGATCGTTCATCATGGCAAGATCGAACTGGTAGTAATAATAGTGGAAATAATACAAATACAAATACAAATAATAATCAAAGATTTCGATCTGATAATGGTTCATCAACAAGTCATGGTCCACCATTATGTAAATTTTTTGTTGAAAATCGTTGTATGAAAGTAAGTTTTTATTTTAGAAGAAAAAAAAAAAGAAGAGAAATTTTTTTGTTTTTTAGGGTATTGATTGTTTATTCAGTCATGATTTTAAACCACAGAAAAAAATGGAAGTGTGCAAATATTATGTTCAAAATAAAGGTTATTGTCAAAAAAATGATTTATGTCCATATTTACATGGAGACTTTCCATGTAAATTTTTTCATACCGGTACAAAAGATTGTATGCAAGGTGATCGATGTAAATTTTCACATGATTCAATAACAAATGAAGAAATTCGTTTTGCATTTGAACGAGTATGTTTTTTTCTTTTTGATTGATTATTTTATTTAAAATATTTATTTTTTCTTTTCTTAGTATCTTAATGATTCCGATGAAATGAATCGACAAAATCGTGTTAATCCAAATCCTAATATTCATCATAATGCAAATCCTTCTACAGTTAATTTTGATGTTATGAATGCTCCACCATTACCACCTCCACCACCTGTTCCTAATTCAATAACTGATCCATCAAATTTTCCAATGATACCAAATTTAATGGATTTACTTTTACGAAATGGTCCATTACCAACTCAAACATCAATTGATTCAGCAAATACATCCAATACAGAAACACCAACTAATGTTTCACAATCAAGTCCACCTGTTCAAAGGTTCGAATATGATTGTTTTTCTTTTTAGTTTGTAAAACACGATGTAAAAGGATTGTTAAAGTATATAGATAAATATTTGAACTCGCAACAGACACTAGGCAGAGACTATCACAGATCGCATATTAATAATGTCTTGTTATAATATATAAACTACTTATTGTATTTCTGGACGATTAAGTAAAAGGATGATGAAAAATTATCTTTGAAAATAGATAGAATAAAACAATTTCTCTATAATTAGCAACAACAGCTACATCGTAGTTTATATTTTAATCCCATAGGCACTGTGATAACAGCTTTTCTAATTATTTCTTTTTTTTTTTATATTAGACCTAGTCTATTTACGGATACGCTTTCAACTGATAAAACTGATAATGAAGAATCAATAACAAATAAAATTGTTTCTTCAACGAACAGTACTAGTCCATCATCATCGATTCAAAATGCAACATCAACTATTGATAATACATCAACAACAACAGTTACTACTGCCAATACTAGTACTTCTTCTATGACAACTACAGCAACAAATTCAACTTGTCCATTACCTTTACCACCATCAACAATTCCAAATTCTAATATAAATTTACAATCACCATTTGGTCGTTTACCACCACCAAATTTAACTCGACCACCATCGTCACTTTTACCACCACCACCACCACCACCTAGTCTATTTCCAATGAATACACTTGGCACAGGACGTGTACCAATTTTATTTCCAACAAATAATGGTTTACCATTACCACCACCGAATTCATTAATTGATATGAAATTATTAGGTAAAATAAACTAAAAAAAAAAGATAACTTTTTTTTTCATTCATTTTCAAAATTTTTCTTTTGTAATTATTTAGCTCAAGCTGCTGCATTAGCCGCGGTTAATGCTGCTGTAGCAACAAAATTTACTACAACACCACATCATCATTCCCAATCATCAAGTCCTCAACTAGGTCGTGATATCGATGAACGTGATCGTCAATCATCAACAATAATGCGTGGAGATATTGATGAACGACCATCTGATGTTTATAGTCGTCCAACAACAAATCTTGGTCATTTACAAACATCAACAAATATTAATTCTCCAACATCATCATTATCACCAACAATAACAATCAATGATGAACATTTAAAAACTAAAACAATTCAAGATATATTTCGTCCAATAAAATCAACAACTTCTGATCAATTATCAAATTCAACATCAACAAATTCTACAGTTGGACCATCATTTGATTTTATTTCTATGCTTGAACAACTTAAACAACCACGACAAATACAATCAATGTATATTAAAAAATTTTATTTCTTTACAATTTACATATTCTTTATTGTTTTTTTTTTTGTAGTGATAATTCTCATGACTCACTTGAAATCCGTAGTTCATCAAGCCAATCATCAGTTTATATTTTACGTCCAGTAATTGTTTCATTTAAACCATATCCATTACCTGATAAATTAACAGATCCACGTATTGGAAAATATCAAGAAAAAATGTCTCTATGGTCTGAACAAGCAAGATTAGAACGTTTTAAAACACCATTACCATCTTTAAATAATTATTCAATACCATTACGAACTCAACAACAGCAACAACAAGCATTAACCAATGACACGAATTCCTCACGTGATCCACGTTTACTACGAAACAGTGTAACAAGTAGTAAAATAGGTGTTCCAATTCTTCCTACACCTACACCGTTTGTTCGACCAAACGATAATATTCTATAGCGATATATTTTCTTTTCTTCTTTTTTTTTCTTTCTTTTTGTTCTCTGTAAATGATTCTTCTATCTTTTCTTCTCCCCGAGTGTATAATCAGTGAGAACTGAGATAGACACGACGTTATTGTTGACGCGCATAACAATCTTTATGTGTGTGTGTTTCTTTGTTTGTTTGTTTGATTGATTTTTTAAAAAACAAAAACAAAGAAGATTTATATCTTTTTATTTTGACTATATATATTTCCCATATGGAAAAAAATTCAAATGAGATTTCGAAAGAAAACAAGAAGTTTTCTTTTATGATTTAAACTAATATCAATTGACAAAATTTTTATTAAGATAAAACTAATGTTAGTGTGTTTAGAAAAAAAAAACAAAAGAGAGGAACTTATGATTCACTATTTGTTTTTATTTAGTTCATTAATCATCACTTCAGACATTTTGAATTTTTGTACTTTTCCTGTTGATGTTATTATGAATTTATCAACAATACGAATATACTTAGGAATTTTAAAAAAACCTATTTTATCAGAAAGAAATTTTACAATATCTTCAGCTTGACATTTTGTTTCATTAGATTTTAATTTAATCCATGCACATATTTCTTCATGATGGCGTGTACTTGGAATAGAAAAAATTTGTGATTCAGAAACACTTGGATGTTCATTAATTACATTTCAATTTCAATTGGATAAATACTAATACCACCACGAATAATCATTTCTTTTTGACGACCAATATAATAAAGCTAACCATCTTTATCCATTCGACCTTCATCACCTCTTCGAAGCCATCCTGATAGTGTTATTGCTTCATTTGTTTTCTGTGAATCACCATAATATCCAATTATTATAGGAAATCCTCGCGCCCATATTTCACCTTGTTGACCATTAGGTACTGGATTTCCTTCTCCATCAAGTACTTTAATTTCTAAACGTGACATACATCGACCGATTGAAGTAAGACGACGTATTTCATTTTCATCACCAGACCACATACTACTGGTAAGAATTGCAGCATTTTCTGTCATTCCATAATATTGTGCAGTACGTTTAATAGGGATTTCTTTTTCTAATTGACGTAAAAAGTCAATATTCATTGAACTAGCATCTAATCCACAACAAACTAATGAACTAAAATCATATTTTTTTTCGATCCGCATGATTAATATATCACCAAAAATAATTGAAGTACCTATTATAGCTGTACATTTTTCTTCATGTACTGCACGCATAGTTGTCGCGGAATCAGGTAATAATAGCTGGAAAAACTATTTGACATTTCGATGTTGCTACATTAAGTACACCGACAATTTCAGCAAAAATATGAAATATTGGAATAGGAGTACAAAGACGAGTAAAATATGGTTCAAGATGCTCAGTTACACCTTTCGACATATTAACTATACCAAAATGTGTTAATGTAGCTGCTTTTGAATGTCCTGTTGTACCTAATGTATAGAATATTGCAACAGGTAAATCAGGATTAGCAGATGCTTATCGTTTATTTAATTTATTATGAGATATTTTAGCACAATGTTCTAACAGGTTTTTATATGAATGCATTGGTGATGACTTTGATGATTGTTTATCAGTAAGAATACTATGTTTTAATGTTGGTCATTTTTTTAATGATAATTCTTTAGTTGATGATTATTGATCAAGTTCAGGTGCAAGGTGACGAAATATTGATAATGAATCAATTATTTTGACAGATGGTGAAAGAAGAATACCTTTACATCCAACTTTATTTATACAATATTCAAGTTCACGTTCAACATAACCTGGATTTATATTTACCTAACAAGAAAAAATAGATTTGAAAGAAAAAAGCAATATAATATTTTACTTTGATAAGACCTAATTTCGATGCAACAAAAGACATGAACACATTTTCTGATGTATTTGGTAATCAAACAGCAAATCAATCATTTTTTTCAAAACCTAATTCAAGAAGTGAAGCAGCTAAACTATCAACTTCATCTTTGAATGATTTAAATATATATCATTTTTGTTCACCTAAACATTTTTATAAAAAGAAATCAAATGAGGAAAAAATAAAATACGAATAAGAACATACTTTTAAAGACATAACATTCATCGTTAGGATGTTTGTTTGCGGTTTCATCAAAATTTTCACCTAATGTTTTATAAATAAATGGAAGTGATGATACATGATGATAATAACTTGAAGTTAGTTTAGTTGATGACGATGTTATGAGCGAATTTTGTTTGTTGATTTGAAAAACAGTCCAAATTGAAGGTGGTTGAACAACAAATCGTTTGATAGAATTGATTAACATTTTAAACTCATTCGACAAGTCAATAAAATGCCTCGAAGCATGTTCTTTTTATAAAATAAGATAAGACATATTGTTATCAATCACAACATAGTTTGTAGGCATTGACCTATTTTTCTATGTGTTACGAAGATAATCTGGAAAAAGAAGACATCTTTATAATTGATCTGTTAATTGATTAACAATAAAAGAAACGATCTACACAAAATTATTAACAACATTAAAAAGAATCTAACAAAATAATATATCTGTTTTTTAAATGTATTATTGTTGTATAGTGACATCTAGTTAATAAATAGTTTGATTCGACTATTGGATACCTGTGACAAGAGTACATGTGAATCATATTCTTTTGCTTGCGGACACTCTCGAAAAAGCTGATTGTCCAAGGGAGAGAGGCCGAAAGAAAAACAGACAATTAGCTGAACACACTCTATCCTCGATCGTCATTGCTTATTTTTGTTTATTTATCTTGACAGAGGGATCTCTCTTTTCATTTTTTTTTACTCAACTCATATGGATATTTTTTATTTGTATTAAATCCAATGTTGAACAATTATTTTTATTCAAATGGGCAATCAAAGTATAAAAGATTCAAGTACACGTGCATCGCCCAATTTAAAAAGTCGTCGTTCATTATCAAAACCATTTCTTAATTTATCTGGTTCACATACAGAATCTCCATTAATATCAACATCATCACTTGCAACAACACATACTAATGTTGATGATATATCTATTCATAGTCAAGGTAATTTACTCATATGTGTATATATATATATATCATTTATCAGCATAATAATTTCGTATCTCACATTCCAACATGAGAGAGAGAAGAGGAAGAAAAAGAATATTTTTCTTTTGATTCATTTTTATTTTCAACAGATGTCACGAAAAAAATCTTCTGTTAATAATAAATTAAAATTATTTTCAGGTTCATTTCGTTCAACACCATGTAATACACTTGCACATATTCAATCTCAACAAAATAATAATGGAAATTTTGATTGTTTAACATCTGAAAAACGTTGGTTATCACGTGAATTATTATTAACACAAACTGATACAGCATCAACATCATTTGTTGGAAATAATAATAATAATAATAATAGTATAACATCAACAAATTGTCCATTACATCATCATCGTACAAATCCAACAAATGATGGAATCTATATAGCTTGTTTACCATTTAATGCAAGTGATGATAAACAATTATCACTAGCTGTTGGAGAACATTTAACTATTGTTAACTATCATGATAGGAATCATGATTGGGTTGAAGTACGTAATAGTCAAGGTCAAATTGGTTGGGTACCACAAGTATTTATTAAACCATTATCATCATTAGATAGACATTCATGGTTTCATGGAAAAGTATCTAGATGTGAAGCTGAATATTTATTAACACAAGGAATCAATGGAAGTAAGTTATCAATTTTTCTATAGAAATATTAAAATACAAAACCATAGGAGTGTGTCAAAGTCGATCAGATGATTTTTTGCTAGAGTTGATCCGGTTTGGCGGAGTAGAATCATTCCTGCGAAATGAAAAAAAAAGACTGATCGATAAAATAAAATTGAATAGTGACTATCCTAAAGAACATTAGTGACTATTGACATGTAAATTCAAGCGTTTTTGTTTTGATGTTAGATATGAAAAAAAAAAATTTGAATACAAGATAATTCTTTAGTAGTATACATTGATCCATTGTTTTGCTAATATCTTCATTTTTGAATGCTTTAGAAGAGTAGCAAATGAATCTGAATTTTTCGTTATTCGCTTTTATTACCTCTTTGGTTACAAACTGATGAGGGCACGTTTCTAAGTATCAAATTACTTTTGAGTCATGATTATGTGTATCATGTAGATTCAAATGAGCTATAAATAATACCTTGAAAAGAGTTTGAGCTAATAACTCATTACTGCTGAGCTCCTCTCAGTAACACTAGAAAAACTGAGTTTCAAATTTCGACTTGAAACTTTGTATAGAGACAAACCATAGTGAAAATAGTTTATTGTAAAAGTTTCAAATCTTTTGATTGCTTGTATCCTAAAATATAGTCATGACAAAAACATATTTTATTAACCTATTCCTGTTAAGGATTGTTTCCGTGCAAAGTTTCAAGTCGAAAGTCGAAACTCAGTTTTTCTGATGTTCTTGAGTAAGATCTCAGCAGTAATAAGCTATTAGCCAGAACTCTTTTGAGGATATTTAAAACTCATTAGAACTTACACGATGTATATAGTCTTGAGTCAAAAGTGATTTGACACTTAGAAACATTTCTTTATAAGCTTTTATGCAGATTGCAACTTTTACAATCTTCTCGTTTTCTGCAGTTGTAGAATATTCTCTATTTTTCTTACGCTTTTAATATCATAGCATCATTATATGATATTGCTGTAAATATATATCAAATGAAAAGAAGGAATTGTAATTGATGAGAATTCATAGACTTTCTCTTTATGCAAATCACTTAAAGCTCTGTGAAGCCCAACAGAAATCTGTAAAATTGCATAGAATCCTAGAAAGTTACAATTATTACTGAAGCTCTAATTTTACAGAAGATCAAACGTTCAATTTGATTAGATATACCATTATAATATGAAACCATAGGGTTATACATGACGCTATGCGAAGGATTCCGAAAGGTCTTGAGCAACTTTATTCGATTCTGCAATTAGTAAATTTTATGATGTTGACTGAAGTTTAATGCAATTCACTGTTTTTCTTTTAATGCATATAATCTATTCTAGACTTCTACAAGCAAACTGACATTTCGTGTCATTTTTCTCAATTCTATATCTGTTATCATTACAAAGAAAACAAACTTTTTTCATTGTTTATTTAATATTTTTATTTAAGGTTTTCTTGTACGTGACAGTGAAACTGTTCCAGGTCAATTATCTATTAGTCTTCGATATGATGGTCGCATATATCATTATCGTATAAATACAGATGAAAATGGTCAATATTATGTTTCAACTGAATTACGTTTTTCAACATTACAACAATTAATTCATCATCATTCAATAACAACTGATGGTCTTGTTCATTTATTACTTTATCCAATAAATAAACATAAGATTCAACCAGCATTATTTAAAATTGATGATAAATGGGAAATTCCACGATCAGAAATAGCTATGAAACAAAAATTAGGTGGTGGACAATATGGTGAAGTTTATGAAGCATTATGGAAACGTTATAATAAAGTTGTTGCTGTTAAAACATTGAAAGAAACAATGAGTTTACAAGATTTCTTAGAAGAAGCTGATGTTATGAAAGATTTAAAACATCCAAATCTTGTACAATTACTTGGTATATGTACACTGGAACCACCTTATTATATTATAACTGAATTTATGGCACATGGTTGTTTACTTGATTATTTAAAACGACGACCACGTACTGAATTAACATCAACTGTATTAATGTATATGGCTGGTCAAGTTGCTTCAGCTATGACTTATTTAGAAGCAAAAAATTTTATTCATAGAGATTTAGGTAGAAAAAAAAACAAACATTGATTGACAATTAATTCATTTTGTTTGTATATTTAGCTGCACGAAATTGTCTTGTTGGAGATAATCATGTTGTTAAAGTTGGTGATTTTGGTTTAGCTCGTCTTGTTAAATGTGAAGATCATTATACAGCTAAACATGGTGCTAAATTTCCAATTAAATGGACAGGTAAGAAGAAAACGAAAACATTATTTTTTGTAATTTTCGTTTCTTTTTTTTCAAGCACCTGAAGGATTAGAACGAAATCAATTTTCAACAAAATCTGATGTATGGAGGTAAGTTATACAATGAAATAATATTCTATTCATTTTCGTTTCGAAGCGAGAGTTTAAGGTGCCTACTAACGAGAAAATCGTTTGGCTGTAGAAAGGCCGAAAGAAAAAATATCGAACCTGGGAAAATATTGAAAAAAGTGATGTGTACAGCACACTCGGATGATCTCTTCCGAGTTCAATGGCTTTGTCGCCTATAGACATTATATGGTGTTTAAATAAAATCCTGAATAGACTCGAGTTTCTATTGATATTTAACTAAGCTATCAAATTTTGATCTGAAGCTTTGCTCATATAGAGAACTCAGCTTAACTAGTTTCCATAAAAAAATGCAGAAGTTTTCAAAAAAGTCTCTTTCAGATATGAAGCTTGCAAAAAAAATGCATGTTATATACACTATCCATGGAAAAGAGTCTACATCTTGAAAGTCTGATATCTCGAAAAGGCTTTATTCAAAATTATGAGTTTTTGTATGAAAGCTAGTCTAGTTGAGTCCCCTATATGTGAAAAATTTCAGATCAAAACACGATAGCTTAGTCAAATATCAATAGGAACCCGAGTCCATTTAGGGTTTTTATTCGATCGTTATGTAGTGTCTATAAGCAAAGAGACCATTGAAACTGGAAGTGGACATCTAAGAAGGTTCTCTCGCAAGTAGACCCTTTAACTACTGCAGGAATCACATCGACCTATGGAACTTGTTACATAAATGCGTGATGTAATTGCACCAAGTATTATATTCTGTAATTTATATTCTAGTTTTTCAATACTTCTCTGGGAAATTGCTACATATGGTGCTAGTCCATATCCAAAAATAGAACTTTGTCAAGTATTTGATCATCTTCGAGTAAGTACAACAAAAGAAAAAAAATCCTTTGAATAAAATAATTATGTTTTTTTATTTCACAAGGCTGGAAATCGAATGGAACGTCCAACTGGTTGTCCACCTGATGTATATAATCTAATGCAAAAATGTATATAATTATAAATAAAAAAATTCTTAAAAAAATTTATTTTATTAATTTTTTTCAGGTTGGCGATGGAATCCAGATGAAAGACCAACATTTAAAGAAATTCATTCTGAACTTGAAAGTATGACTACAGTTGGATTTAATACTCAAGAAAATGGTATTTATTTTTTGTATTATATAATAAAATATTCAAAAGAAATATTTTCATTTGAGGTACAACAAAAATTTTACCTGCAAATGAATTTTGTGCGACTTCAAATCGTGCTCGAGCTGGTCCATCACTTCCACCTCCTCGACCACCAGCTCGAACATGTTCATTTTCTAGTGTTACATCTCCACCACCACCCCCACCTGCAACAGCTCATCAATCAATTATAGCACGTTTTCTTTCATCACCACGTCCAAAATTATCAACTGATCATCAGCAACAACAACAACCATCTATTAGTGAAGATCCAAATGAACAAACATTACCAACTATTATTCAACAACAACAGCAACAACCATTACGTGATCGACCACGAAATCCTAATCCTGAAGCACGTTTATCAACATTTAGTAAAAAACAAACACCATTACCAATAACAACAGCACTTCCAAATTCATTTTCAACAACAACATTTGTTGGACATAATCATTCGACAACAACAACAACAGCAACAACAAATGGTATTGAACCATTAAATAATGTTGTTTGTGATAGTGTTCAACGTCCAACACCACCATTAAAACCTAATCGAGATGGATCAATAAAAATAAAATCAAATAAAAAATCTTCGAAGTAATTAAATTTTGATTTCTTTTTTCTTTAAGACGACACCTTCCATTTTTCAGGGTTTCTGAAGAATGGTTCATCAGAAAAAGTTAAAACTTCAATAGTAAAAGCTATACTAGACTCAAAGTTTCTGAATGCTGCTCGCTTTATAAAATATTGACTCACAAGCGACCAAAATGATCTCACTTTTCGTCCCCATTTTTCCGAAATACTACGTTTTCTATGCCTGCGGGATGCCCATAATCAGATACAGTATGAATAATATACTGCTTGTTGACTATATCCCATTTTTATTACTAATGGAAGAAATGAAATAGTCAATGAAAGAATTAAAAAATAAGAGTAAACCATTCTGAAGATACTAACTTCTCAATACAGTCCGTCGGGTACAAAATTTTCGAATGTCAGAATCGAGTCGAACCGTACTTTGATACTTTCAATGATATTTTCTAATTGGAATAGAATGTCCGTTCCGGATATACGGGATGCTTTTTTCCTGTTTTTTGTATTCGGTAACTAGTGCACCCTATACATTTCTCAAAAGAGTCGTCTAAGAAATGTGTAGGGTAAAGTCCATCGAGTCCCAGATCAATCCAGCAGATTCTACTTCTTAACCAGCAATTAGAAATAGTCTTGAAGATAAAAAAGTAACCTATGCTAGTAAAAATAAGTCTGAAGTCTAACAATGTCTCATGTATGTCGACATGGGATTTTAACATAATCATATGCTAAAAATAAGATAACTACAAGCAGATTAAACGTAAAGAGGAAATATTTTGAAGAAAAGGTAAAAAGTCGAGTTTGTGAAATAATAGAAGAATCTCAAAAATCGTTTCTTTCAGGGTCAAAAGAAGTTTTTGTTTTTTTGTGCAGACCGATAAAGAATACTTCAAAGTATATATATATATATCAATAAAAAACAAAAAAAATTGAAAACAATGTTGATTTTCATGTTTGCAAAGGAGGGATTCTTAAAGTATATATTTATTTATTTATTTTGATTTTAGAGTGAAATCTAATGCATCAATTGATAGTGTTATATCATCATCAAGTACAAATTTAACAGAATCTAAAACTCCTGAACATCAAAATTCATCTTCAAATTCTTCATCAACAACACCTGAATTTTGTCGTATACATCTTCGACAAACAGGTAATATATCAAATTCAAAAAATTCAAATGAATCTGAATCAACAAGTGAATCAGTTCCATCATCAGTTGGTATGGCAATACGTTTATTTTCTGAATATGCATCAAGTCGTTGCCAAGATACAAAATTAAATACATCATCATCAACAACAACAACAGCAACAACAGATAATGAACAATTAACAGATACAGTACGATCTTTACTTGAAACAGTTCAATTATTAATAAAATATATTCGACAAGTACAAAAAAATCGTCAAAGTAAATTAATTATGTCAAATTCAACAATAACAATTGATGATAATGATATAATTAATTGTAAAAATTTATCAACAATGCCAACAACAATAACATTAGTTAATGATTTAAATTTATTTGGTGATCGTTGCTTAGAATTATCAAAAATTATTTCACCACAAATAGCATTTAAATTACGTGAACATATACAAAATATAAAAGATATATCAAAACCATTATTTGATAATGATGATAATCGTGATGAAACAAATATCTTTTCACAAATGACAAGAATTTTACAAGATATTAAAATAATTCTCGACAAATTATAAATATTCTTTTCTTATTTGTATGAATGACATTGTTTTTTGTATATTTATTTCTAAGTCATCTATTATTGCTTTATACTGCAATCATTTCTTGTTGGTTTTTTTTCTCTTTTGGTCAGATGATCTCATCCTTGTTTTTCTTGATTTTTTTTTGCGTCTTGTGCATTATTATATTTGTTGTTCTTCAGGGATATTTAAATCGTTAGGCTTAGAGATCTTCTTTGGTAATTTCTTGATCTTTTTCTTTCGTTTTCATTTGCTATTTTTTAGCATGCATTCATGGATGTATGTATAAATGTTATTAAAATCGTGTTTTTTCTTTTTTTTTTTTTTGATGTGCTTTCAATATTCATTACTGTGTTTTTTTTCCATGTCTGTGGCGCAAACATCATTGTCAAATCAAACTCAAAAATTTGTTTCTTTTTTCTTCGGATTAAAAACAAACAACAAAAAAAAGAAGAAGTTTTGTCTCTGCATGTAAAGAAATATTTATTCCATATAATGTCATACATCTTTGAAAGAATGAATATGAAGGAGACAATAATTTATAAAATAGATATTGTAGAAAAATTAAATCTTTTTTCTTTTACTTTATACATAATAATAATTTTTTTTTCGATATGTTTGTTTCTTTTTTTTTTTTACTTTTGGATATTCAAATCTGTTTATCATGACTCTTTACGAATATTTATTAAAACCAGTTAAATCAATTAGGAAAAATTTGCATATACGTTGTCTTTCTGAAATTGTTAAACAATTTTCAAAATTTTCTTCTCGTGATGAACTTATTGAATATTCTCAACGTCCTATTGAATATTGTTATGGAAATCGTATGATAGAAGCATGTTCACCAAATAATTCAACACCTATTAATCTAATAAAACTTGCATCAGATCTTCGTAATCAATTATTAGTACGTATAGCACATTGTATACATCATTTTCAATCATTACCATTTTTACCAGCTGCTAATCCAACATTATTATCATTACATGAACGTTATTTAAAATTATTTGAAAAATTAACATTTTTTTCCATAATAAAAACCAATGAAGATGAAGAAAAATTTTTTAATTTAATTAATATGTTTATATTACAAAGTAATGATATTATTGGACACTTATCAATTGGTTGTAGAGAAGCAGAAAAACATTTTAAATCATATAAAATAATGGAAGAATTTCTTGATAATGTTTTACAAAATCGTTTATCAATGCGTTTACTTGCTGACCATTATCTTGAATTACATAAACAACAAAAGAAAAAAGACTTCAATAATAATTGGCGTGGTGCTATTTGTATGAATTTTTCACCAGCTAAAGCTGTTCAACAATGTATTGATGATGTTTCATCAATTTGTTTTGAAACATATAGTGTAGTACCATATGTTCAAATAGAAAATTGTATGCATAAACCTTTACCTTATTTTCCTTCTGTCGTTGAATATATTTTACGTGAATTATTAAAAAATTCTATGCGTGCTATTGTTGAATACAATAAAGTCTTATTAGGTAATATGCAACACGTAAAAAATTTTTTTAATGAAAATCGACAAGATGCATTATGTAAAATTTTTATCACATCAGATCCTAATGATGAACATTTTACTATTGCAATTCAAGATCAAGGTGGTGGAATTGATGAAATAAATGAAACATTATTTCGATATATGTTTACGGGTAAATAAAATACAAAAAACAAGGTTTTTCTTTTAGTTAAGTCTTTTATTTCTTTTTTTTTTTTTTTTGGTTAAGGTGATATAAAAGAAAAAGAAGAAGAAGAAACGAATGTCATAGCTGATTTTCAAGAACGTATGATACAATCGTAAGTAAAGGGTTTTTAGACATGAGCAAAGAATAAATTTTAAAAATGCTCATTTCTAAGAAGACTTATTAAGGATGCAACGGTGATGATGTACCGTACTGAATGTGCACCAGTTTTACGTGCAGCTTTGCATTGGTCTAGACATATACATATAGATCGACGGTTAACACACGATAAAACTGGTGATCTCGGATTGATTAGATTCATTAATTTTTTAAATTCATTAATATGTCGTCTATTCTGTACGTTTATATATTCACAACTCTGTTGTTTACGAAAAAAAAGAATTAATTTTACTATCAAAATTATAATAGCAAATATTGAAGTGATCTTTACGCAATAATTTTCGCATACACTTTTAGAACACATCAGTCGTGAGAATATTACATTTGATGCAAGTCTTACATGATCATAAAAATAAATCAGTCTCAATGAAAAAATATTCACCGTGGTACTAGTCGCAATCCCGACACGATCTGGACCATCGTGCTCATAGAATATATAGAAGGTTTGTCGAAGTTCTAGAGTTCGATTTTTTTCGTTCGAGAGAGGCTTAGTTCTTATGATTTAGTGACGTTTTGTAAAACTCAGCTGCTTTCTTGAAATAGACTTCCGTCGATCAAAAAAGTCGAAATGAATCTAAGATCATCCTTATTATATACGTGCATGTGTAGACCAACGCAGCGCTTTACCTAAAACCGGTGCACCAGTAATCGCTGTCACTGTTACATCCCTAAAATTTATCATTGCTTATCATGGGTGGCGCGAATTCAGCGTTGTAGTGCAAGTAATAAAGTTTTAAATCGGTTCATTTTTTTTCCTTGCCCGCTTCAATAGTGGGCAGTTCGACAACAAAAGTTTTCTTTTAGTACAATTTAATTTTTCTCAACGGCATGAGGTTTGGAAGATTGAGCTATCACTCATTTGACAATATATTACGAGCTTCAAATTAGTTTAATGCTTTTTATTGAAAAATAGATTTATTCAAAATAATTTAGCAAAAAACTCAAGTCTTGTTCTAATACTGTTCGTTTATTGATCATTATAGTCTCACCTTAATATTTATGTAAACTTTTGTGCAAAATTTAAACAATTATATGAATGTGCTATCTTATTTAACTGTTTAATTGTAGCAGTGAGTTGATCTCCTTTCTGATTGCGAAGTAATAACTAAATTTATTTTTCTTCAGACATTTTAATTTTAAATTCAAAAAAAGCTAAATTATAAATTTTATTAAAAAGAAAACAAAAATAAATGATGAATACCGAATGGCAAGTACACTTTTATTTGTAACAAACAGCAAAGTAGATTAGCCATTGTGATTTCATCCATTAAATGTTGGTTAATCCGAGTTCAATTCTTTTATTCAAAGTAGTCAAGTACCGAATAGTAAGTCTTAGAAAAATGGAAGCCAATTTACAATTACGATCTGGTTATTAATTCTGCGGTAAAATTCAGAAATCGCCTACTCTCGAAGGGAAGAGCCCAAAGTAATCAAAATGTCGGACATATATACACGCCGAAAAGTACTTTCATCAGGATAGCAATAAATAAAACCATTAGACTATGTATCAATCTTCCTGTATGAACTGGAATTGTATTGAATGTATACATATTAGATTCAGTAGTCTTACTTTACTATACACAGAAGGTATGGAAGCAATAAGTTCCTATTGTTTCCTCAAATTTACTTTCTAAGAAAAGCAATTCCTACCTATTGTAGTGCTGATGCGCAGCTCATTTTTTTTTTAAATTTTTTTTGACTGCTAACTTTAATAATTATCATAAAAGCTTTCTTTAGATCGCAACAAATGTATGGTCATGGAATTGGTCTTCCTATTTGTCGTCTCTATGCACAATCTTTTGGTGGTTCTCTGTCATTACGACAAGTAGCACGTATTGGCGTCGATGTATATCTTCGTCTAGGTTTTATTCATACAAATTCTGAGCGTGTAAAGATCTGAATTATCTCAATAACTTTTTCTAGTTTAGTTTTTTTTTAATATTTTATAATACCTTTTTTTGTTCGATTTGATGAATATTTATTTGCGCCATTTTATATTTTCTATCTAAACTAAAAGTAAATAAAACGAGCATGACTGCTGTACAACGAAAACTTGGTCGTCGTTATCAAAGATATATATCAGCACGACAAACATTTGAAGATAAAGAAGATGATCCAAAAGATATTTGGGAACGTATTATTAAAATGTCTGATGTTTTATCAGCAATGGCAATTGATATACAAACAAATGATATATTTCCATTATATGGTTTAAATAATATAGCTCGAAATGATTTAAATATTTTTTGTCGTGAATATATCGAAATGGCTATTGATTTTTCTTTAAATATAGATCCAACTGATGAAGTTAAAAATTTACGTATAAGAAGTCAAGAACGTGAAATTGTTATTGCATATGATGATGGAACAATTTTTGTTATTATACAATCATTATCAAAAGAAAAGAATACTGTGTTACCAACGTTTTCACTCGATATGTGATTAAGAATAAATTTTTTTAAAATATAAAATATGTGGACGATTTTCATAAAGTTTTTTGCGTAATCAATTATAATTAAAGCATGAAATATCTAAGCTGAGGCTGAGCGAGAACAAATACTCTAGGTGAAGGTTGAGAAAAGTTGATAGTGACCGTATGGTCTCACGCTGTTTTTCACTCTCCTCCCAAACTGGCAATTACTTCTGCAAACAACCTAATCCTGATTCTCGTTCGAATGTTTTCATGTCCATTTAGAAAATACCGAAATCAGCCATTTCCATCATAAAAGTTGCGTGAAGCTGCTTGACAAGGCAAAGCATGCATCTGGGACACATTTAAAAATTTTCTTCAATAACGTTTGACGTGTTTTGTAAAAAGTTGCCTTTTTAAGTGTCTTCACGCAATTTTCATGATGAAAATAGCTGGTTTTGATATTTTCTGAATAGATGTAAACACATTCAAACGAGAACATCGATTAGAGTGTTTTTCAGAAATTCTTGTCTGCTTGAGTCGTAACTTACATTTTCATGCACCATAGTTCCTAGCCGCTCCGAATTGATCGAAAATAGCAAGCAAGAGAATATCGAAGAATACGATAGAATAAATAGATATCTGCAGTATACATTCGGTTGAGATGAGATCCCAGTCATAGCGTAGGTCCTGTGGAGATTAGAAGAATTCTTTCAGATGTACTGGTCTTTTGGATTAATGATCCTTACGCGGAAATTTATACATTTGGTACGGTATTTATAAATAATATTGGACAAATGAATTTTGGCCTAAAATTTTGTTCGTAGACAGCTCTTGAAGTCATTAGAATCTCCTAAAAATTTCAGCCGAAAAGAGTTGTGTCTCTTCTTAAGATATCAAATCCACAAACGACCATGATATTCGACCACAATGAGGAAAAATTTAATTTTTTTTGTGGATTTGATATCTCGAGAAGAGATTACTCTTTTTGACTGAAAAGTTTTTTATGAGATTCTAATGACTTGAAGAGTTGTCAATAAACAATGTCTTAGACTCAAATTTGTTTGTTCGGTCTTTTTTTTATAAATGCGTTACCAAAGGTAACAGATTTAGTGTAACGATCATACCTTCAAAAGAGCAACACAAGAGAAAGGAACTTTCTGGATTTCTTCTAGTTTTAATAGACCTACGTAATGACTGAGATCGCGTCTCAAACGCGAGATATCACCTTGTGTGGTGCCCAGATAAGCAAATTCTGAATGATTTTAACTTTATTACAAGAGAGTCGAATTTGATCTCTCAATTTCTATTAAAAGATTTGTTCTCAATTCATCATACTTTCTAATATGTCATGAATCACTTGACATAAATTCGAAAGGAATAAGATTTCTATGATTTACTATCTAGGTATAACAGTCTTAAACGTTTTCATGAATAGCTTTGCATCTTAGATTCAGGCAGATATAGAGTTCACAGTCATTAAATATTTATTTACTGGAAACGACACTACCAAATTTAAATGTTTTATTGACTATACAATAATAAATACTATGAATATATAGAACTTGAAATAATACTTTTGATTTTTATTAGTAATAAGTTCTCTCATTAAAACCTTTTTCAAACTTTGATTATTTCGAATAATTAATAAATTCTAACAAATAGATCAACATTAATAAAGAATAAACTATTACGATGTGAAATTAATACTGCTGTTAATATCTGCTCATATTATCCTTTCTTTATGACAGAAAATTCATTGGAAATTGTTACTAATGAACATCAATCTCAAACAATTATTTAGTTTCTTATTGATAAACGTGACATGAGTTTAATTACTCTTTTTTTTTGACATAGTCACACAAAAGATATCAAAAATTCAGAATTAATAGGGTTAAGTGCAGTTAAAAAAAATCAACCCTAGGAAATTTTTCAAACATGCATTCATCTTGTATGAGACTAATTTATCAACGAGAACTGAAAATTTATTCATAGAATGATCGTGAATCGTTCATTATGTTTTGCCGACTTTTGACACTGGAAATAATCATGAATGTAATACATATTTTCTCCGTTGAAAACTTATTGATATAGTTTGATAGTGTATAAACAATATAAAAATTCAAACATTAACCTTTATAAAAAGATTATTGCAACAAAGAAAAAGATTAATAGTCCTTTAAAAAACGTCAAACATCATCTTTAATCTATTTTCTTTCTTTTGATGTTAAGAAAGATTTATTTAGGCTTTAAGTTTTTAGCTTTAAAAGAATATTTTATTTGACAATCAATTTTACAAATAAACCGATTTCATACACGTTGTGTTGTAATCAAATTTAATAGATGGTGCAAAAATTCTTGAAAAAAATCATAGAATACAGTTCAATTAATATTATCATATGAAGAAAATATACATTAAAAAAGGTGAGAGACACACATTGAGATGTACAATGGAAGAAATGAATAAATAGAAGAGGAATGCACAAAGAAGTCCTTAGCTGATCAAGGTTATGAGGTGTATCTAAAGTTTTTCTCAAGTGTATTAGTGTTATTGTTTTTCGCTATTTATGGGGCAAGAAAGATCTTCAATTTCTGGAGCATCCTACATGATTAAAAGCAAAGACTCGGTTTTATCTTTTGCAAGGATGAAAAATTCTCAACACTTTTAACGCCAAATACGTTCGCGCAAGCAACTATTGATTCAAATCATGCTTTCCAAAAACCATAATAAATCAAAATTTTCTTGAATGAAGGTTTAAGTCTTTGAAAACTATTTACACTTATGCAATTGGCATTACTTTCCGGTGCGAAATTTTTTGCGTTCTGATTAAAAACTCTGCTGTCTCATATCGTTTCATTCAAAAATCTGGTTTGTCCGTACATGACAGTTACAACACTTCTTAAAACTATTTATCGCCGAAGGGGACCATGCTCAAAAACGAAGCTCTTCAGACGTAAAAAACTTCGTAATATGTCACTCAAACTAATGATCGGAGAGTTCTTAGATCAACTATAACTGTATAGCCGTTACTTTTTGCTTAGTGAAAAACATCATTTATCTCTGTGTTTTTGAAAGAAAAAAACTTAACAAAATCTCAGTATTTATTTGTTTTGCAGCATTTTGACTAATAACAGTAATAAAAATGTCCCATTATGGCCAGAGGTGCCACACTTCCCTGTAAATCCTACTCTAGAAAAATCAAGAACATCTATTCAGAATATATTTTAAATGCTCTTTCTAATGGTGGGTTCAAAAGAAGTTCTATTGCCTCTTGTTATTGAATAATGAATAAAATTTCAAACAGAAAACAGCTTGAAATTTATATTATGACATTGCTTAAGATGACAATGAAAACAAATCTAGCCGCGAAGCTCTTTCGAAGATTTGTTTTTTACTCAATAATAAGACGTCATAGAATTTTTTTTGAATAAACATTTAGAAAGAGCATTTAACGTAGATTCTGAATAGATATTGTTGATTTTTTTTCAAAGTTTGTTTTAGTCAATGAAAAATGAAACAATATTTTCCCATCACACATTACTTATATAAATTCACCTAATGAAAATTCTGTTATTAATACTTATCAAGATTCTCGTTGATAAGCAGATTCGATATATATGTTATTGCTAGTATTTATTCATGCACATAATACACGTTAATATATGATGAAAAGAAAAATGATACCAACTTATTTTTTATTCAGACATTCATACGTATTAAGTAAGATGCACTTCATAGAGTGCGAGTACTTGAATATAATTCAATGCAATAACCCTTTCTTTTTTCGTTGAAGGAAAGCATTGTTCGAAATTGAATAAAACACAACGAAGCGATATGGAATGACATTGTATGAAAATAAATTTGATTTATTATTATTTTTGAAAATGTATGTAGTATTTGACATTAATCTAAATACGAAATTAATTTTTCCCAATTCTTGTATTTAATAGAAAAAATGTTTGAATCATTGGACCTAAAATTTTTGTTTTCCTATTTTTGTGTATGTTGATTTTTTTCATAATGCCATAAGTAAAGATTACGGAATGTCAAATAGAGCTGAAAGTCATTTTCATACAATAAAAATTTTTGTAAGTATTTAAAATTTTATAAAAAGAGACATAAAACAAGAAAAAATTCTATATCCAACAAACTCTGAGAAAATTCAATTATGTTTAATAACTAATTCTTCTCTTTGTCTATTTCATATTCATGTTTATTTTTCTAATTAATGATAAAAATGATGTATTTTAATAAGAGAGTCTTATAACGAAGAGTATATTTAGGTTTACTTGACATCTCAGTCTTTGAGAATATGTAATAATAATTTAGTTAATTATTGTGTATGTCTTCTTTAATGACAAACTCAAATTTAATTTTATTTAACTCAAAGAAAAACAGTATCATTTTTTTTTTATAAATATTACAATTATAATATATTTTTTATAATTAATCTCGTTCTCATGTCATGTAAAATAGCGGCATCTGATTTGTTATAATTGTTAGTAAACTATATGCTCGTAAGTCATAGTTACCTGACAAAATATGGTAGATATAATAACAAACGTAGAAAAAGAGAATAATGTTTTTTCTCTTCTACTTTGATATTCGAGGAAAAAGAAGATGAGAGAAATGTAGAGAACATCAAACACTTAGATCCATATTATAGAAAAAAAAGAAAACTTGCATCGTCATTTTATGACAATTGCGTGTCATGAGGTAAAGAAAAAAAATATTTCTTTTTTTTTCCTTTTAATGACGGATCATGAAAACTATGCGACAGCAATACATAAATTTCGGTCGTTAAGTATACTATTGGATGAATTGACGAAACGAACAAAATAGTGTAGATCTTAACGCAAACAAAAGATAATTCGTTTTCAAATAAAGGACAAAATACTTTTAACAATTCGAGTTGTATTCTTATTTCTACTTATAGATCAAATAGGTAGTTTATTTTTATATGGATGGCTGTGATAAGTTTTGGCTCGACAACCACATTAGAAGCTGGTCAACGTCGTAGAAATGCATGTTCATTACCGTTACATTATATACAAATATTAGGAATAGTTGTTATCATATTTCTTATATTAATGAATTATTTAACATTATGTGTTAATATTTCAACACATCCTTGGCAATGGTTAAGTATTGTTATATCATCAATAATTATTCTTCCATTTTTAATTGCTTTTATTATATTAACATTTTTGGACCCAGTTGAAGATGCAGTAATAAATCAAAGTCATGGACCAAAAGCTAATTTTGATCGTCGTGTACATCAACATGTTATAACAAATTTTTATTGTAATATATGTGAAGTACATGTTACAGCTAACGCAAAACATTGTTCATCATGTAATAAATGTATTTATTCATTTGATCATCATTGTATATGGCTTAATACATGTATAGGAGGAAAAAATTATCGTCTATTTTTTTCGATGTTAATATTAATTGTTCTGGGAACATTATTTATATTTTTAAATAGTTTACTTCAATTTATTGGCACATTTCAAGATACATCTTCAAGAATAAATTTAAAACCATATTATAGTATAGGTAAATATAAGATATTTGAGATACATCTTATTTTATTTTCTTAAGCACGAAAACAAAAAAAAACATTAGACGATTATTTTTCTATTGAATTATACCTAGGTAACTTGATCGAATAAACAATCTAATAGAAATACAATTAAAAGATAGAAATGTTCGAGATATTATTTTTCATGATAGATTTTATGATAGGAGTGCTTATCAATACGAGAAATGTTATTTCTAAACTTATACTTTGTCAGAATAAATAAAAATTATAAATACTCAATAGATTCAATATTATCTAATGAAAAGAATAAGCGAAATTCTTTTGTATGCATAAATCTGACAATGTAAACATTGAAAAAGAAAAACGAAATATTGACATAAGTAAATCGAAATATAGATTATGACAACATAAACAATTCTTTATTCATGAATAATGTTCACTTAAAATAAAGAGAAAAAACATGCTTTTATTTTAATCGGACTAAAAGATTATTAATCTTCAATCATTTGAAAACAAAAGAACAACTAAAAACAATTCAGTTATTTTTTTTTATCGATTATACTTATCAATATTTCAAATAGCCATGAAAACAAAAAAAAAAAACTTTCAAGATCAATGAGAATTTTTCATAGATCATATTTCTATGTCTTAGAAATTTTCATGAAAGATATATTTGTCAGATTCTATTGACGTCTTTTTGGAAAAGATGACGCAGTATCACTAATGAAATACGATACTTCTTTAATACCATGAAACTGAAATATTACTCTATGCTATTTTGTTTTCTAAATCAAAGTCATACAATATTAATAGGTGTTCCAAAAAGAATGAGCCTTTGTACATTTTAATGATATTTCTAATAATATTCATTGGTTCAGATCCGGCTTTTTTAATTCTCTCCAGCATGGTATATTTTTTTGTTAATATAAATAACCTCAATTAGTTTGAAGGCATGCTTCGAAAGAATACTCGAGGATAAAAGAAAATTTTCTAAAAGCAACTCTTTGTCGACTTTCCTTTTTGATTGCATGCTTTAGTTTTTTAATAATAATATCTTTTGATGTAACTATTTTTTTACAAATATTAATAGTAACAAATCTCTTCAAGATGAATTCAAGATTTGAATTTGTACTATTCGATGACAGAGAGAAAATTCTTCTAACATCATTGTTGAGTTAATTAACGCATATGAAATTGCTTATGAGTTTTTTTTTCTCGAATATTTCCTTATCATATTTTGTGTAATCCAAAGACTATTCTGAATTTATAGAGTGCATCTATTGTTCCTTGAGCCAATTGACCGTCGATGCCAAATAACAGCTCAGTGCATAATTTCATATCCATTAATGAACATAATAATAATGTCAAAGCAATTCTTTTGACTAACATTTGAAAAAAAAAGTCATATCAAAAGATACTTTTATTAAAACAGTTGAGCAACTACCCACTCGTCAAAAATTATTGCCTACGAACTTTCTGTGCTAATGGCAATTACTCAATGCTTCAACAGTAGTTACTAGCGGACTTCGTCTAAAGTGGTGAAAGTTGCCAATGACTCAAAAATTCTTGGCTAACCCATTATTTAGATAAATAAAAATTAAAAAACGAAATTCGAATCAACAAATATTATAAAAGATATCATTAAAATACATAAAGTCTTTCTCTTCCTGAAACATCCATTAATACGATCGACTCAATAAAATAGGCTTGTATGAAAAATACGTCGTAATATGATGATAAAACTTAATTTCTTTGCAAAAGCATTATATTAAATATTTTATTTTCAATTAGATCAATATGCTATATTAATGATTCCATCATCAAAAATTGCATTTCAAGTTATATCAGCTATTGTCGCAGCTATCTCTCTTATTAGTTGTGGAATGACTGGATATCTTCTTGCTTTTCATATATATTTATGTAAGTTAATAAAGCACAAGAAAACAAAATTATTTTTTTATTATTGATTTATGCTTTCTTTTCTCAGGTTATAATCATATAACAACATATGATTTTGTTATTAGTCGACGACATCATCATACAGTTGATGAAACTTTATCACAATTTAATCAATTAAATCGAAATCAGAATAGTGTATCAACAGAAACAACAGGACAATCATCAATTTGCTCAAGATTTTTTCCTCTAAAGGTTTATTTCATATGTGAATGATTTAATTATTTTTAAATCAATAGATTTTTTTTTCATTTATAGAAAAAAAGAAATAATCGAGTTGCAACTACAACAGAAAATGGTCATAATAACTCTAATTATTCAAATCGAAATCAAAATGCACAAATTTTTATTGTCGAAGAAGATAATCTATGAAAAAAAACCAATCTTACCCATAATAAAAAGAATGTATTTATCGATTATTAAAATATCTCTAGAGAGACAGTCAACGGCGTTTACAAGTATGTCGAAGTACAAATCAAGAGTCTTATACTTATAATAATTCATATGATGGAGCAGATGAACAAAATCCAGAGTAATTATTTTCTTCAAAAAAAATAATCAAATGCGTTAAACAATCATCTATTGTGACAGTGATGTATTATTGTAACAATCAATACTCTCTTTATTTTCTTTTTTTGTTAAATACCATTGTATTTGTTATTTATTAAGAAAAAAAACTAAAAATGAAGATATATATTATTTGAAATTATATGAATAATAAAAAACGGATAGCAACAAAAAAAAACAAAATTTATTCTACTTGTATTTTTATAGATGTCACATAATCAATTAGTTCTCTTAGATGCTATTGAAAAAGGGCACACTTCAATCGTACTTAAACTTCTACGAAATCATGTTGATTTAAATATTAAAGATATTTATGGCAGAACACCATTAATGATTGTTTGTTGGATTTTATTATCTCTATATGAAATGAAAAAGAAAAAAAGAAATTTTCATTTAATTATTTTAGGCAGCTAAAAATGGTCGAAATGATATTGTCAAAATTTTATTAGAACATATAGAAACAAACAATATTGAAGTTGATCAAGGTGGAAAGACAGCATTACATTATGCAGCTGAAAATTTAGAATTATCTGTAAGTAACGGGTGACACATACTAAACAGGATAAAATCTTTTCCTCTTTTTAGAGCACTTCTCAACTAGAAATGAGTGGGACCAAAAAAAAAAACTTAGTTCCACATATCTCTCTTTCCAACATATTAGAGATTTGGTTTAAGGCTCATCCGATAGAGAATTTCCTACTCTACAAAACTATCGTCTTTAGTTTTCAAATAACTTTCTTTTTGTTGCCAAAAAATTTAAAAGATGAACATCTACTCAATAGTCTAACTGCGATTTCCGTGCTTCTGCAAGCATCTATTGATTTGTGCCAGGTCCAATGCTAAATGTAATATATTTGGCATCAATGGATAGAGAATTTCGTGCTCTCGCATTTCATGATCTTTTCAAGATTTCTGTTGCAGTTATTCAGAAGAAAAAGGCTTTGAACCAACACTAGATGGTATTTTAAGACGCATTCTAGAAAACCATATTTTCCAAAGTAAGACTTAGTCTATGATGCGTTTGTTCTTATGCCGTCGAGTATAGAACTTGATTCCAAAACAACATATCTCTCGCATATACTTCTTCTAAAATCCTGAAATATATATCAAAAGATACAGAATTTTGTCGAGAACTTTGTAGTATATTTGAAATTTCAGCGAAACCTTTATGAAAAGCTTTTTCGTTGTTTAATTATCACAGTTAGATGATTGAGTAGGTGTTCATCTGTTAGATTTTACAATTACAAAAAAACGTTATTTGACAAACAAAACCGGTAGTATTCTACAGCAGGAAATTCTCTATTGAATGAGCGTAAACTGTGTTGAGAAGTACTTTCACAAGAAAAAAATATTTTGTCTCGTTTATTATGTGTTACTCGTTATACTTAACTCTATTTGAAGAAAAACAAAAAAAGAGTTGAATGAAATAAATAATTGTAGGTAGTAAAAATTCTGTCTAAACATCAAGCAGCATCTTTAATCATGACAACAACACAAACAAAACTTCTACCACTTGATTATGTTCTTGATAAAGATGATATTTATCCATCATTGAATAAATATACTCAAGGTGGGCAAGTGAGTGCTGGTGAAACGGATAATGATGATGATAATGTGCCAAAAGCTGGAATTTATACAAAAACGAAAAAGAAAGGTGGTGGTAAGAAGAAGAAAGGCGGCAAAAAATCCGATTCAAAAAAGAAAAAGAAAGGTGGAAAAAAGAAAAAATAAACATTATAGTTTTATTTATAAGTACTTGCATTATATTTATTATTTTTGGTAATATTTTTTTTTTTTAATTAAAAGTTTATTCCAATAATTCTTTATTTTTTATATTTATAATTAGAATAAGAAATTAATGAATGCATGCCATGAGGTTTTTTTTTCAATAAAACACCTGCTGGTATATATGTAACAAAATTCGTTTCAGTACATCGCTTGTTTAAATATTCTAATGCAAATTTTAAGCAAGTTCAAAAATTCAATAATGTTCGATTAATATTTTAAATTTAAATCTTAAATAAAATTTCATTTGAGTTTTTCATTCTTTTTGTACAAACAATTAAAAAAAAAGTATATTGTTAAACATAATGAAGCAATGTACAATCAGACAGTTCAATTAACAAATAATAAATTGATAGATATAATTTTTTGAGAAAAAGTTAAGAGAAACATAAGAGAATTTTATATTAAAATTCACTTGCAATCAAAAATAAATCCTACAATCTAATATGAAATAAGATTTTATAAACAGCTAAAAAAGGGAGAAGTCTATGTAAATTGCATATGAAAAGGAAGTTAGTCGATTATATCTTAACATTATTCTTGAAAAAAAATTGAGTTAATTCATTCATATCCGTTAGAGGCTGGGATAGAAAAACAGTTTGTTTTCCACTTTATCTCGCTTCGCCACTTCAACTTTAATTGTTTTTTTGATCCTCGACTTATCTTGATCTTAATTCTTTTTATTTCTTTAATTTGTTCAGAAAATAACTTTTTTCGCCCCCAGTTTAATTACTTTTTCTGCCCTTTCTCATCCTGTCTATATAAGACATTTGTTTAATTAAAAACTAAAAATACTCATGAAAATATTAATGGAGAAAAAAAGTTCAGTTGTAAATAAACCAATACTGATGAATCAATTTTAAGCGCGATAAACATTTGTACTCGCGATTGGTTTATCGAATACACTTGCAGTTATTAGGAAGATGCTTAGGGAAATAAAAAAAAGGCTCTTTCAACTCGAAAAATTCGTTCATGAAAAAGAAGACAAAATTTATTGATCTGTTTACGTCAAGTGTTAGATATAGTTTCTACGATGTTTGATACGAAGTTTCATCTTTTTAATAAACTCTCAAGACACCTTTTTCATGTACAACAAGAAATATAAAATACATATTCTTGGTTATTCGTATGACTATACTCGTTCATAATATTCTAAAATATTGTAGACATTTAGCAGTCGTGTAGGTCGTTAGTATGATATTATCACTTGCTATAAATCGCACATTTACTATCTCTGTATAAAATTAGAACGTGAAAAATATTTTCCAAGTATTCTTAATAAATACCAATACAAAAATCAATAATAGTTGTCATATTTTATATCTCAGTTGGGACATTATGGAGTATATAGTGCTTTCTGCAGCATCTAAGATGATGAAAAAAAGTTTAAAAACAACATGTCTTTGATTGTTTTTTCTATAATTTTAACCAATTTGCTCAAATCCAGATAGTGATTTTAATAGCCAATGAAATTTTAGGCCTAATGCATTCTATAGTGAGATTTCATAGATGAAATATAATGGTAAAGTTTTTAAAAAATCGGACACAGGAAGTTTCGGTTCTCAGAAGATGTTTTTTTTAACAATGCCATTTTAAGGAGAGCAAAATGAGGGATCACTGTATTTTCTACAACCTTCCGTTAAGCAATTAAAAGTATCACGAAAACCATAAAAAAAAACGAAATTTATCAAAAAATCGACTAAGAAACGTCCGTTTTCGATTTTTGTGATACTTTTAACTTTTTAAGGGAAGATTGTAGAAAATGCAGCGATCTCTCATTTTATTCTCTTTAAAATGGTACTTTTGAAAAATAACTTCGACAAAGTCTTCTGAGGTCTGAAAATTACTGTGTCGAGCTTTTTTTAGAAACCTTGTCATCATAGTTCATCTATGAAATCTTGGCATAGATTGCATTAGACAGAAAACTTCGTTGGCTACTAAAATCACTATCTGGATTTGTGCTAATTGCTTAACATTATAAAAAAAAATATATTGTTCCAAAACTTTCTTTATCCGCTCTATTGATGCTATGTATACTTGTACTTAATGCTTAAAATTATAAAAGAAAAGCCTATCAAACAAAGAAGTATCCTTGTCAACAACTTGTATGGAATTCCATTACGACAGTGTGAATATCACACACGAGATATTGTTATTAACTAGCTTAAAGCAGGAAAATTTAAATTTGTGCTTTATTCATCATATTTACCTTTTGATGGTGTTTTCATGGATTTAGCTGTTCATTCTTGTTCAAGAAAGACGAGACACCTTAAAAGTTGATTAAAAGAATGAAACTTCATTTCGACCATTTGCTGTAGGCAGATCGATAGATTCGTCAAGTAGCAAGAAGTTTTTAATTTTCCTACAGAAAATTTAGTAAGGCGATAACATCTGTTGTGTGTATTTAGATCGATTGTTCAATATGTATCTTCTCTATATGAATATTTGCAGATTTACCTTGACACCGCTCCGGCAAAAATAGGCCCTATCCCATTTCGACCTCTGGTATCTAGAAAATTTTTTAGAAAAGCTTTTTTTATTGATATTAGTTGTGTTAGCTAGATGAGAAGTGATCACAAAAAATTTCTTGATTTTTATGTGAAATGATAGGTATTTGGAACATTGTCTAGGAATGTCAAAAAAGGTTCTACAAGTGTCTTCAAACTCTTAAGTTCGTGTTTTATCCATACGTCTAGTTCCGCTAGATGAGTACAAAATGCTCTGAGGTTTGCACTAATTTAATGAAACTATACTTATGGGCAACACACGAACTCAAGAGTTTGAAGTCACTTATGGGATCCTTTTTAACGTTCCTAGAAAGTGCCCCAAATACTTGTCATTTCAGACGAAAGCCAACAAGTTTTTTTTCTGCCGAACCGGTTTTCTCACCACTTCTCGCCTAGTTAACATGACAAAAGTCCAATAAAAAAGCTTTTTTCAGAAAAATTGATGAATATCCATCGATATAACTCATAATAGAACTCAAATGATAAGCTCCTATGAAGAATTGCACGCTATTCCTCCTATCTAGATGTCGCTTGTATCTGTAGTTACTTTATACTGATTCTGTATGGCTGAAAAAAAAGAAACAGGAAAATATTCAATGAATCATATTCCCTCTCCTTCGAATCATACTCCCATCATAATCACTTCTCTTTATTGTTAAGTAAACTGTAAGCAAGTGATAAGATAATAAAGCCACTGTTTTACAATTATTAACGAACAAAATTAGGTTTTTTTTACATCATTTATATTTCTCTGTTTTTTTTAGATAAATAATAAATATGACGGGGCGACTTCCAGCCTGCGTCATTGATAATGGAACAGGTTATACTAAATTAGGTTATGCTGGTAATAATGAACCACATTTTATCATTCCATCAGGTAAATTAAAAATAAAACAGGATTATAAATCATTCGAAGAAAATTTTTTTTCTAGCTATTGCTGTTCGAGAACGTCCAGGGGGTAGTCGAATTGGACAATCTGGAGAAGATTTAGATTTTTTTATTGGTGATGAAGCATTTAATGCTAAAGGTAAGAAAAAGAAAAACAAAACTATTAGATCTTACTTTTTTTGGTAAATATTAATTTATCTTTAGGTTATTCAGTAAAATATCCAATTCGACATGGTATTGTTGAAGATTGGGATCTTATGGAAAAATATTGGGAACATTGTTTATTTAAATATCTTCGTTGTGATCCTGGTTAGTAATTAAAAAAAAATGTCTTTTTTTTTATCATTTATAATTTTTGTTTTTATTTACTCATAACAGAAGATCATCATTTTCTTTTGGTAAGATATTTAATTTAACGTTATACAAAAATTTGCTTATTTTTGTTTTCATAGACTGAACCGCCATTAAATACTCCTGAAAATCGTGAATATACAGCTGAAATTATGTTTGAATTATTTAATGTACCTGGCTTATACATCGCTTTACAAGTAAATTGAATATATCATTCATTTTTAATGTATTAAGTTAAATTTTAAGGCTACACTTGCATTATATGCATCGTGGATTGCAAGTGATGTTAAAAATATGCTAACTGGTCTTGTTGTTGATTCAGGAGATGGTGTTACTCATGTTGTTCCTGTAGCTGACGGTTATCTTATAGGTATGTGTATAATTGGTTTGTTTTTTAAATTTTACAAAAATCTTGATTTGTTTTTTTTTCAGGTAGTAGTATCAAACATATTCCAATATCAGGACGTGATATAACATATTTTGTGCAATCATTATTGCGTGAAAGAGAACCAACTGTTCCACCTGAACAATCACTTGAAACGGCTAAAACTATTAAAGTATTATTTTAAATAATATCTTTGTTTTTCTTCTTTTTGATAGAATTTTTCATTTTTTTAAGGAACGTTATTGCTATGTATGTCCTGATATTGCTAAAGAATTTGCAAAATATGATGAAGATCCACGTAAAAATTATCTACAATATACAGGCATTAATTCAGTTACTAAAAAACCATTTAATGTTGATATTGGACATGAACGTTTCCTTGGGCCGGAAATATTCTTTCATCCTGAAGTATGAATTTGTTGTTTTTTTTATGATAGTCAACATATTACAGACCTGCATCAGAGTCATTTTTAGGAGTGAATCAGAGTTCTTGAAATTGTCTATCGGTAAGGCCACTATGACTGAGTAGTCTGCTACGTATCCGCAAGGTACTGTGTTCAAAGCTTGATACCATCAGTCACGAAATGATCCTGAACCAGTCACTGACGGCTAACTGTGTCCGATAGCATGCTTACTACGTTGTGACACACACCTGATCTTGCGGCTAGTATGTGGAGCACAAGAACTCTTCGTCAGGCTGGCCTTTTGCCCAGTGCTACAGCTAGTATTAGTTATAGAGAAAATATTGCGCTATTGAATCTGCCGCTAGGCAGCATTCTATACCGAAATGCAGAGACTCTCTTCCTCGCAGTAAATTCGGTTGAACACTACGGGTTATTTTTGGATGATCAGTTTTATTATCTGATATTCATTATACAAAGTGATGCATTTTGGAGACTCGATTCACGTCTCATAAGCCTCGAACAGACATCAATTGAGTTTCGCAAAACATATTGGTTTATACGGTGAATACCAAAGAATAAAACTTATATTTCTGAAACCCCTGTTGTATTAAATCCGATTTGTTAATGAGACATTTAGTTGATTCAGATGAAGATCTTTAAAACATATATAAATCGATATTTTTTTTTTAATGTAGTTTTCCAATCCGGAATTTAATACATCTTTATCGAAATTAATTGATGATATTATTCAAGATTGTCCAGTCGATGTACGACGTAAACTTTATGGCGTATGTTAAATTATTTCTTTAATTGATATTTAAAAATAAAATCATGTCTGTTTTATGTTTTTAGAATATCGTCTTATCCGGTGGTAGTACGATGTTTAAAGGTTTTGATAAACGATTAAAACGTGATGTACAACGATTAGTTGATGCTCGACTTCGTGAATCTGAAGAGCTTAGTAAACATAAAGTAAAACTTAAACAACAAACAAAAAATCTTTAATCGATTTATTTATTTATTTATTTATTTTTTTGTATAGCCTGAACCAATCGATGTTAAAGTTGTAGCTCATGCGATGCAACGTTATGCTGTTTGGTTTGGTGGTAGTCTAGCTGCAAGCACAGTAAAAAAAATTTTTTTAAGAAAATAATTAAATCATATTATTATTATTATTTGTTTTTTTTTTCTAATAGCCGAATTTCTATGAAGTATGTCATACACGAAAAGAATATGAAGAAAAAGGTCCAAGCATTTGTCGTTATAATGCCGTATTTAATCTTGTATGAACATGATTTTTCTTTTTTATTATGTGCTTTTTTCTCTTACTCTTAACTTAATACGGAATGAACCTTTTCTGTGCTCTCTGTTTTTTTTTCTTTGCTGCTTGGTCTTCCGTCTTCTAGATTTATTAAATTGAGAGAGAAAAAAAAGTGGTATCTTTTTTTTTGTGTTTCATTAACGGATGATCTCGCTTATCTTCTTATCACTTCGTTATATTTATACAACTAAAACATAACAAACATTTTAAATAAAAATTTAAGCTAATCTTTTGATTTTGAAAAATGTATTTTTGTTTGTAATTTTTCACGTGGTATGAAAAATGATTTTTGTTTGAGAATATGTTGAGCTTCATGAAATGGTAATATATATTCAATTGAACAATTACTTGAACCAATGATTATTGGATAATTAATAAAAACATTCGTTGAATTATTTATTGGTGCAATATTTACAACAAAATTTGATTGAAATTCATTTCCATTAATAAGTGCACGAATAATATGAACTATTAACATTGCTTCTGTCCAATTAGAACGTAATTTAGTACTCAATGAAATATTTAGCGATTCTTGTAGTTTAGGTTTTAAATGAGGAATAGTGGAACTGGGTAAGAGATATTTCATAGCAATCTGTTGACGTGATATTAAATCTGTAACAATTGGTAATCGACGTCGAACATTGGAATAAATAGTTTCATTATTTTTCAGAAGTTTTTGTATGTCCCAATTTTTATGGCGTCTTTTTTTGGACGTAAATTCATTTACAATAGTCGTGGTTGTTACATGACTTTTTATTATTTTCGAATGAATATCTGAACAAGGAATTCCATCAATAGTTAAATTATGCATAAGTATTTTTGTACATGAATTATCAATTAATCCGTTGCCAATAACAAAAAATCCATTGACATGACCATGAATGTTTTCGTTTTGATTGAGTATAGTTCTATGTGCATAAGCTGTAGTAATACTTGCACCAAGTCCAAATACTCGTTCGATAGGAAATTTACTGACACGTGATGCAACATAAGTCATTAATTCATTTGGTTGTGTACAAATAATTAATGTAGAATGAGGTGAATAAATACACACTTGTGAAACAATACTTTCAACTAGTGAAGCATTCATTTGTATCCATGTTGATATACTTTCTGTTTCTGAAATAAGATTAACATGAAATATATGTCCTGCGGCTGTCAAGATTATCCAACAATAGATAGTTTTATTTGATTTTGTGTATATCTCAAAAAATCAAATGACCTAGAATAATCTATTTTTCATCCTATAGTCTTTGTTATATTAGTAATAAATGCCAGATCAATCCATTGATCGATTTAGGTTTTTATTGATTTTCGAAGTTGGAATTTTAGTTTATGATATATGATTCAATAGAATAAATTGTGATTTAGGTAAGGAATACTTTTTATCATAGCTTTCCTCTGAGTAAGGGTTAAAGAACAAGGTTATTTTTGGCTTATACCAGATATTTCTAACAACAAGGCGATAAAAAGAACTTTTTTCATGTGGTGTTCAGCCAATTAATTGTTTAATATAGCATTAGCAAGAGTACTACGAATCGCATGAAATATTCTATTTCAACACATAGCTACTATTAGAAAATTATGTTGGACATCTGTTATGTATACACCAATTGCTGATAGGTTGTCTTGTACCATCTTATTCACGTATTAAAGAAGATTGCTTTAAAAGCATGGATTTGTATAGAATATGTTTTCGTAAAAACCTCTTATAGTTGAAATCAAAACTGATTATATCACTAAAATTGTAAATAGCAGGATTCAAAAACTTACTATAGTCCCAACAACACACTGGATATATATTTTGTCAAACAAAAATGTACCAAATGAAACTTAACATAGCACGTTGTTCGATGAGATCTGTACTTAGGCTCTTGCTGAGATTACAGTAAACTTTTACTCCTGCTATTGATAACGTAACATATGTATATAACTCAAGTGATATAGTCGGTTTTGATTTTAAATATAATCGTTTTGTATGGAAAAAAGGTTTGCTTTTAACATAATCTTTTACATCTCGTTCAGTGTGTGAATGACATCATATAAGAAGACTACCTGTGATCAGTGTATACATAGTAGGCGGTCCACACAATTTTCCAACATTAAACACCAATTAAAATAGAATATCTCATGAGAGTTGTAGTGCTCTTACTACTGCTATATTGAACAATTAATTCGCGGAACATTATATAAAAAAATCTATTATCGCCTTGCTGTTGAAAATATCCGGTGTAAGCCAAAAGAACCTTGTTCTTTAACTTTTTTCAAAAGAAGGTTCCGATTAAAAACTACTCTTTATGTAGGGCACAATGTGCTCTGATGAATCATGCATCATCAAGTAAATTGCAACTTAGAACAAACGCACAACACTTTAACACAAAAAAAAATTGGTTGAATAACTTTGAGAAGATGACATGCTACAATTGTATCGTTAATAGAAACTAAACAGATCCATAAATCCATTTAGAATTTTGTAATGGTATCCCAGAGACTATGGAACAAAAACGAGATCATTCTAGCTCATCTAATTTTTGAGATATATATAAAATAAAATAAAATAATCTATTGATTGGATTAATTTGACGGATACTATATAAATGATTTCTAAATGTCAAACCCAATTGATTATGCTGCACATTGATAATGATAACGGTCGAATCCTTTGTTTCCCAATAAGATTGAACTCTTTCAAGATGTATATTACATTTGTTAAATAAAGCAATTAATTGAAGATCATTAAGTATAATACGAGCATCTTGTTTTTCATATATATCAAAGACTTTTATAACTTCAATTGACGTTAATTGTCCACAGGCAAGAAGAGCAGCAATAGCTGAGTAAGTCGTTGTGTTGATACCAATAAATGTCAGACGACAGCATCGATATCGAGCTTCAGTTGGAGCAATTCGTAAAAATAGACGATTTTGAGTATTAGGCGTTGATGGATTAGGAGGAAAACAAGATGAAGGATGTAATTTAGATCGATATTGTGTCATTCATTTTAGCGCTTTTTTTAAATTTATAATCTGTATGATATTTGTTTCATTTTTTCTTTTAAGGACAGAATCTAGCGACCTCTAATACAAAAATTTAAATGCATATTTTCTATTGGTTTAATATTGTAAACTGATTCACACGGTACAATGAACAACAACATACACACACAAAGTCTACAAAGAAACAAAGAAGTAATAATCGGCAAAAAAACGAGTACATTGTTTGAATGTTATTGCAGGAATATGTTGCAATCTATTTCTAGTTAAATATTGCTTGTATTTCTAGATTTTTCTATTACATATTGTTTTTCATATTTTAAAATACAATCATGTTTGAAGTATGAATTATATTCTATATGACAAATATAGAATTAAAATTTATTATATTTAGGCTCGTCTTTTACACGGTTCAATTTTTGCTAAAGTTATTGAAGGTCTTCGTGAACTAGTTAATGAAGCAACATGGGAATGTAGTGGTAATGGTATAACACTTCAAGCTATGGATAGTTCACATGTTGCATTAGTTTCACTTGTTATGCGAAGTGAAGGTTTTGAATCATATCGATGTGATCGAAATATGAGTCTTGGTATAAGTCTTGTTAGGTATATTTAATATTTAACAGAAAAAAAGAATATCTATTCAATTGTTTTTTAATTATCCTTAGTATGTCAAAAGTACTTAAAACAATGGGTAGAGATGATTCATTAACAATACGTGTTAATGATGATTCTGATTCAATTATAATTTCAATGGAATCCCAAAGTAAAAATTATGTATTTTTAAAAAATGCAAAAAATAATTATTCAATTTTTTTTTTTCGTTTTATTAGATCAAGATAAATTTGCTGATTATGAATTACGTTTAATGGATTTAGATAGTGAGCATTTAGGCATTCCAGATACAGATTATTCATGTACAATTAAAATGCCTAGTAGTGAATTTTCACGTATATGTCGTGATATGAGTATAATGGGTGATTCAGTACTTGTTTGTACAACAAAAGAAGGTGTTAAATTTTCAGCTAAGGGTGATCTTGGTCAAGGTAGATTTCTTTTTTTTTCTAATATTATTTTATTGTAGGTTTTCAATAAATTTTTTTGTTATAGGTAGTATTCGCCTTGTTCAAACAGCAAATATTGAAAAAGAAGAAGAAGCAGTTATTATCGAAATGAAAGAAGCTGTTGCACTTACATTTGCTGTACGATATTTAAGTATGTTTTGTAAGGCAGCACCACTTTCACCTCAAGTTAGTTTGAGTTTATCTGAAGATACACCATTGAGTAAGTTCTTTTTTTGTATATGTTTAGTTTTAATTTTGATTTTATTTTATCATTTAAAATAGTGTGTGAATTTAAAATTGCTGAAATGGGTCATGTTCGTTTCTATTTGGCACCGAAGATTGAAGATACTGAAAGTTGAAAATAAAGAAAAATGATTCTTTAAAAACTTCATATCTATAAACTTGTCAGATGAATATTATTATAATTATATTTTTGTTTCATATCGTCTATTTTTTTTTTGCTGTTGTCATGTAATTATATAAAACTGGAAAAAAGATGTAATTTTTGTTTGTTTGTCTATATTATGACGAAATTTGAATGTAGTAGAACTGTTTTCTTTGTCTTAAGAAATCATTTACTCTAATATATATAACAATTATTTCTGGCTTTCTCGTATTTTCAGATTTAACAAAATGAGTAATACTGTAAGTTCGTCAATTGATTCTGTTCAAAAGAATAAAAAACCGACTAGATATATATTTTTTGATCATAGGCAACAACTAGTGACGCTTCTGCCAAACCAGTAAAAATAAATAAATGGGATACAAATGCTGTAAAAAATGCATTAGATGATGCATGCAAGAAGGTATACTCAATTCATATAATTATACATATTCGAGTTATTGATTCCAATGTTTTAGTACTTCAAAGAGACTTTAAATTTTACAGAAGATTATTCATTAATGGACGGTCGTCTTTATATATCATTGTTTGCATGTTTATTTTCAATATATGCTTTAATTTATGATTGGTTTTATCCATTTCCAAAATCTCGTTCAATTCTGATTGTTTGTGTAATCTCGTAAGAAACGAAACAAAATATTGTTTTATCATTTGAAAATTAAATTTGTTTTTTGTTTTCGTCTAGTTATTTTATTGTCATTGGTATTCTCACATTATATATGTACTTTATTGAACATGGTAAAATTTTTATTGGTAAACTTAGTAAGTATTCTATTATTATTATTTTTTTATAAATGAATTTATACTGGTTCTTTTTTTAGTTGATAAAACTGGTCTTGATTCTGGATTACGATGTACAATAAGTTCTAAACTGAAAAAGTAAATATATTTAATTATAGAAAATACATCGAACGAAAGTTAAAAATATTTTATTTTGCTTGAAAATTTTAGATATGATGATAAATATAATTTAACTTTAGAATATAAGGAAGGTACAAATAAATCAACAGGTTCATCAGGAGCATTAATTACTTCTATAGGCAACTATTTTGATGAGGATGGTGTTTTATGTTATGATCGATTTACAAATGATTTAAAAAAGATTTCTGATCAAGCACGATTAAATGCTCGCAAAGCTAAATAATTAAGAAGACGAGAGAAAGAGATAGAAAAAGAAACAAATATTATATATTGTTATTTGTCATATTAGATGTTTCTAATAAACATTTTTTGAACATCTTATAGTTTTCATTTTTTTTTACTATGTTGTTAATTGAAATGATGGTAATGACGTTGTTTTTTCTTGCAATTATTTTAGATAAGCAAATCAAAGTAAGACATAAAATATATATGATTAGAATAGATCAAATATATGAAAAAGTTCTCTCTTTATATATGTTGAAAATAGACATCGAACGACATGAAAATGATTCGAATTTTTTCATTCATTGTTTTTTGATTAATAATATCAGATTATTCACATATTTGAACGTCTAAAAATTAGATCTAAAGTGAATTAAAAAGATTTGTGATAATTCACAATAGAAAATTCAGCACATATGACGAATTAAATTTTATGTCCTTATTATGAAATACGATCTAAAAGGAGTGTTGATGTATACAGAGTAGAAATTTATATTCATCCCTCCTCCCCACAGAGACAGTGATCAAAAACCATATATCAATAATGGCTCGTTACAATATATTAACTACTTCTTTATGATATTTGTATCTCGACATCGGTTCCACCAAATAGGCTGAGTTTTTTGTTAGTAGTAGAAGTTTATACAAAAGTTTTCTTTTCATACGGATAGCGTAAAAAATATTATTGATATCATGAAGGCAATTTGACTTGGTATCTAGTAAGAAAAATATGTGTAGCGAGTTTCATAGATAATTTTCAGTTGGAGTTTAAGTGAATAATACGAAAATATTTTTCTTACTTGACAATGGATGAAATTTCTTTAGTGATGCCAAGAATCTAACTTGACAATAGTATTTATTTACGTTATCCATATGAAAAAAACACTTTAAATAAGCTTCTACTACTAACCAAAAAATCAGCTCACTCAAGCGAATCTAAGCGAAGATATTTTAATTTTTTATCATAGTGCTATTTATGATCCATCTTGCATGTAATCATATTAGGTGTGATTTAAAACATTATAAAGTATTATGTTTTTTGCAAACGTTTTATATCGAAAGAGAAAGGTGTATTTGAACTGAAACTTTCAGAATATCGTCAAGACTAGAGAATTTATTATCGTTGAAAATTTCAGACCGAAGTTCCATGCTACTGTTGTTTTCGTAATATCTGCTAAGAAAATGAGCATAACTCAAAATAAAGATTTAGTTGTACAAGCTTCTTTCGGATTTTGTATCTACACTGTAAGTCCTGTCTATGAGAAAAGTATGAGCTCCAACGAGGAATCGTAGTTGAATGGATTTCTTCATTAGATAAAGAAATCAAATTTTGTGTATCGAACAATCGAAATAGTTAATATTGTGTTTTTGAATACGATTCCTTTTTCGCTGAATCGCTATTAGCATGCATTTGGACTGAGTCGTATTCTCACCATGTTGTTTCTTTTAAATCTAAAATAATAAAAAAACTTTCATGTAAAGCAGCGATATCTAATGGTTAAGAGATGATTCATTGGATAAAATGAAGTTATGTTGAAAAAACATATATTAAAAAAAAGCGATGAAAATAAAATTAAAAGATAAAAGAACAAAAAAAGAAAAATCAAATTCGTTAATGCTTATCGAACAGATATATTTCGTTTATCGATACTTGTAGTAGCGACAAGTCCAATTTTTCCATTAGATGATTCGAATAATTTTGTTTGTTGTATTAAACCATCACCTTTTGGCATAGATGAAATTAAATTTGATTCTTTAATAGCCGTATTACGTGCTCGAATTAATGTTGGTACTGTTTTTAAACTTGAAATAAGTTTAAATGTAAGACCAATTAAACAAAATGTTTTAATAAGTATAAATGTTGAACGTGGATCAGTATGAATTTCAAATGTTTCACAAACAATTGGAACTACTGGTTTATCTTTAGTTGCTGCAAATATATTTGAAAACCAATTTATAATTGTTTCAAATGTTGTATGATTTCTTTCGTAATGACTATAGTCTTGTGTTCGAATAGATGCCATTGTTGGTTTTGGACATTTTGAAGCGACAAGTGCAAGTGAACGATATCCATGTCGCATCCAATAATATTCACAATAGGCACACATAAGGCCAATAAGAAGACAAATTATAAAGAGTTTATTTGTCATTTGTTTTCGGTTGGTTTTTTTCTGTTTTTAATCAAAATAGAAATTAGATTAAACAGAATAAGAGAAGTTTAAAGAAAATGTTTAATCTACTTAACAACAAGATCAATTCGAAAAAGAAAATAAATAATGGCGCGAAATTATTACTTTTTTTTTCTCGTTATAGATTATTAATTTTTAGAAAATATGACAACACTTAAAAAAAGAATTTTACAAAATATAAGTCAAACTGAAACAGTGTCACCAATATCAGAAACAACAAATCAAGTATTTTATATAATTAATTTATAGAAATTTATATTTTCTTTAAATTTAGTCTCAAGAACTTACAACAACAACAACAACGACAACCACTTTAATTCTTGATAATAAAAATCAATCAATACCTCCGTCTGTTCATAAAGTTCGTCTTGTTGAATTAAAAACAACTTATTGTCGTTTTACTGATTTTGTTAAACGTTTAAAAACATTAAAAACACTTCGAGAATATAATGAAATTCTTGTTGAATTTACTGATCGACTTGTTCTATTTCGAAATTGTATTGATGATTGTATAACGTAAATTAATTTGTTTTATTTACAAACAAAAAAAAAAGAAAATTTTATCTTTCATTTACTTTCTAGGATATTAGTACAACATATTCTGGATCAGACTGATCCATTAATTCAAGTTGCTTTTATTAATACATTGACAATCATAGAACAACAATATCCAACAAGTTCAGTAAAACATACAAATGAATTACTTAATTTTGGCAAACAAACAAGTAAATTTTTTGTTGTTATTTTTCGATTCAAAATTAATTTTTCATTTTCAATTAATAGAATCTATTAAAGTAGCAAGTGCTCTATTAAGTTATTTTTCTATATTACCAATATCATCATTTATTGATAAAAATGCTTTAGTTCGTTTTTCTATTCAAGTAAATTCAAATGAATTATTTTTTTGTTATATTTTTTTTTTCATTTTCATATTTTAGTATTCAGCTAATACTCATGTTCGAGTACAATTATGTGCATTGAAATTACTCAGCACACTTGGTCGAATAACAGATCTTGAATCATCGCTTCAATTATTGATTGTCAATAAATTACTTCAAGCTATTGAACATGATGATGCTCGTGTTCGAGCTGAAGCTTTACGTACAATTGTATGACGTAATTTTTTATGAGACACGATCTAATGGAATTATTGAAGTACAGAAATAAAAACTTGGACTATCACAGACTATGATAGACGCTAGTCAGAGATCATCGCAGGTCGTGATGGACGTCCTATCAACGCTTCTTTTCTCGTCAGACGTTATTGATATACGGTCTTTAATCGTATATCAATAACGTCTTGTTTGTATATATGAACTACTTTCTTATTGCATTTTTGGAGGATTAGGCAAAAGAATAGTGAAGAAATATGTCTCAGGATAGCCAGAATAAAACAATCTTCGTATGATTAGCAACGAAAGCTACATCGTGTTTTCACATTTTAATTCCACTGGGATCGTGCTAACAGCTTTTTTTGTTTTGTTTAATCAATTTTTCTTAATGATTTGTTTTGTTGAATTATAGGTAGATTTGTTTAAATGTAAAGTTGGTCTTGATTCAAAATATTATAGTTCATTTGTTGAATGTTTACAAGATTATTATGCTGAAGTACGATTAGCTGCATGTGAAGCATTATTTCTTCTTGCTATTAATGCTCCAGATAGGTATTTCTATTTGTTCTATGTTTTTAAAAATTTATATTTTGATATATTCAAATTTGGTATTTAGTATTGTTCCATCGGGATTATCCAATGATGAATCATCGAAATTAATTAATGAAATATTTCGACTTATTTGTGATTTAACAAATGATGAAGCAAAAATTGTACGAGTACAAGCTATGAAAATGATTGTAAATAAATATAAATATATATGATCCATATTAAATAAATAAACTAAATATTTATATCTAGGGACAATTATGTCGAAATGGTGTTGATATTAATTTAATTCATCAAACACTTGATAAAAAACTTTTAAGAGTAAAAAAGAAACTCATTATCTTGTATTTTATTTTTGGGTGTTTTTTTCGTTTTAACTAGATAACTAAAAGGAAAGAATTTATTGCAAAAGTTGAACAATTAGGTAGTGAAATGGATGATATAACAGTACATGATGTTACAGTTGATGTTCAATCAGCATCAATTACAGCAATAGGTCCATGTGGTGCTTTAATCAGTGGACTTGAAGATGAATATTCTGGTAAATATAAAAGATTAGAAATTTTATTCTATCTATTCTTATTTGTATATATAGATGTTCGTGCTGCAGCTATTGATTCTTGTTATGATATATCATGTTGTTATGATGTATTTCAATCAAAACTTGTTGAATATATTGTATCAATGTTTGATGATGATATAGAACATGTACGATTACAAGCAATGCGTATATTAGGTAAAATAGCTCGAGGACGTGTATTAAGTGGTGAACAAGTTTTATCAATTTTAACTGAATTACTCGTATGTAAAGAATAAAATAAGTTTGGTTTTAATTTTTAATTTTTTTATTTATTAAGAGTCGTTCTTATGATATTCGTTCAGCACTACATGATATTCTACGAGTAGTACGTATTGGTGATCCAGATACATTATTTAAATTATTTCATCGTCTTGTGGAAAATATTCAACGATTTAAAACAGATACTCAGTCAGTTCTTAGGTTTGAAAATAAGATTGTTTTTTTCTAATGAAATTTATTTAACAAAATATTGTTTTTTTTTTTTTTTATTTAGATGTCTACGTGAATTAGGACAAAATAATAGTGCATTTATTGCTTTACTTTTACCAAAATTATTACCAATGCATAGTTA